CTATCAAGCATCCAAGGTCAATGATCTCCTGAATTAAGGTAAATTAAGCTCAGACCCTCCATTCTTATACAGCCTTAGTGGTATTTATACTAACATAGAGTCCTAACATTTACCTAACCACCTCTAGGAATGTAGTTTGAACACATAAATTCCCCCTTTTTTTAATATATATTAACTGATTTTAGCTCTTAGTTGACCTCCTCCTTTACCATTCCCCTTTTGGGTTGTAAAAGAAAGCCTGACGGTCAGTGCCTGAGGAAAACTCTTGTCTGCCTTTATGACCCTGTAAGAATTCAAGCCTGGTGACCTTGCTTTAGCTAGAGCACTGCTATTGCGTGGGTATAGAACTGTAAATCTCAGAGACTGAGGAGGATTTTGACTGGAGAACTAGATGGAAGGTGAGGAAGAGAGCCAGATGGGGAAGAACGAGATGAGAAAGACCAAGATGGGGCAGAACTAAGATGAGAGAATTAAGATAGAACGTAGAGGGGACAGCAGAAAAAGGTAGAGAGAAATCAGGCAAGAAAGGAGCTGGGCATGAGAACAGAATTGAAGCTGTGTAAATAGAATTTTATCCTAGAGGAATAAAGTAGACAGATGAAAGAGCTCAGTGTACTTAGATTCTTTTTCCCAAAAATCGTTCACACCATTTGTAGCTTCTCTTCTGGGTTCCTGGGAAGAAGATTATTAAGGCTGGACCATAATAATTTCCAATAAGTTTGAGTGTAATTGGCTCCATTAGCTCACAGGGAATGGCACTACTAGGTGTGGCTTTGTTGAAGTAGATGTGGTCTTGTTGGAGGAAGTGTGTCAGTGTGGAGGCAGGCTTTGAGGTCTCATATATGCTCAAGCCATGCCCAGTATCTCAGTTCACTTCCTGTTGCCTTTGGACCAAGATGTAGAACTCTCAGCTCCTTCTCCAGCACCATGTCTCACCATACTCCCAGCTGCTGTGCCCCCTGCTATGATGATAATGGACTAAATCTCTGAAACTATTAAGTCACCACCTCAGTTAAATGTTTTCCTTTATAAGAGTTGCCATGATCATGGTGTCTCTTGACAGCAATTGAAACCCTAACTAAGACAGTCCCCTAAACACACAGTGCTCCTCCAGGCAATGGCTCATTCAGTCTTGTTTATAGCCACATCTTTTATTTACTCATTATGCATGTGGGTGCTCGTGTAATACCACATGTGTGTGGAGGTCAGAGACAACATCCTGGAGTCAGGTCTCTTCTTCCACTCGGAGACAAGATCCCTCTTGTGTCTGCTGCACTCCATACTCCACACTTGCTGGTCCTTGAGCTTCTGAGTGAGCCTCTTGCCTCTACCTCCATCTCACTGTAGGGATGCTATGATTACAGATGTGTGTGCTTCTAGCTTTTTAAATGGGTTCTGAGGACTAAACTCATGTTGTCAGATGTGTGCAGCTAGCATTTTACCTACTGAGCCATCCCGCAGGCCCTCACAGCAACATCTTATATAGCTAACATTTTGAAAATAAAATTTGTTACTGTTAAAAAAACTGATTAAAGTATAGGGATATGAGGGCTGGGGATGAGCCAGGGATAATGTTCATATTACAGAATGAGTCAAAAGACTGCCTTGGTGCTGGGCAGTAGTGG